AAAACCAGTAGCAGTTACCAGACACCAAACTCTGCCTAACTCCACCACAATCACTCCCTCCAGACATCCTTCCTCAAAGTCCCAACTCCCCACAGGCCTCAATGGTCAGAGTTTGTTAGGGGCTGTTTTCATGCCTTTTTTCCCCTTTCAGGGCTCTTTCTATTTTATTTTAAATAATTTTTTATTAAATTTTCCACCATAATAACACAAACCACAAAGCAAAATAATACACAAAAACAGAAAAGGAAAAAGAGAAGAAGGGGGGAAAGGGGGGGAGGAGGAAAAAAAGAAGGGGGGAAAGGGAGGAACAATAAACAAATAAACAATAACAACAAACTTAATTCTTCACAAATTCAACTTTTTATTTTCAGGGCTCTTTCTAAACCCTTCTTGCCATTTCTAAAATCACTTCTGGGTTCAGCAAAATGCATGTTTGCACAGCAAACGCAGCAATTGGGCGTGTGTAAATTGGTCGTTGCCTGTACAAAAAAAATGTTTAGCACAAACCCAGGTGCAGGATGGGGAGACTCTGAAGCAGTCCAAAGAGGACTGAACATCCCCAATGGTCACAGAATGCTAACTAACATATTGGGGGACTAGAAAACCAGAGGGGAGAGAGAATGAAGCATAATGGATGAAATACATGGAAAGGGGAGCAAGTACACTCCATTGCAGTAATTTGTTTCAGGTTCCATTCATTTACTTTAAGGGCAGCCAAAAGGATGTCTATTTCAGTGTTCTCGTATTTCTGTTCTTTCCCTGTAAATAGCTCCTGCCCGCTGTTTTTTGGGTTTTTTTGCTTCCCCCATCCCTTTGTGTAAACCCCATCACAGGATATCAGAGAAAAGGCACTGAGTCTGAAACTGTATTTTCAACAATGACACGATGGGATGGCAGTTGTCCTTTCCTCTTATGCAGCCATTACCTGCAGCCAACCTTAAGTACATTCTCAAAGCCATTAGTCTCCCCAAATGAATGTTGATGTTACGATGAAGCTGAGGGGAACACACAGAATCTCTTTCGTGATTTGTGTTGCGGAGAGATTGTGTTTTCAAATAGAATCAATTCATTCTTATGATGCAGGGAGAGTTTACTTATAGTTCTCCAAAGCCACTGGCCTGCAGACAGTGATCTCTGATTACATTTCCATTTCTGGAATCTATGCCACCTAACAAGCTTGTTCTTCCAGGAATCTACTGTATTTCTAAAATCCAAAGACATGGTTTTTAGCTGTATAATAGAGCTGATATGTCTTCTTTTTTAATGACACATTTATGCTTGAGTTTAGTAAGCAGTTTCAGGTAGCAATTGTTGGTTGTCATTATTGCGGTGGTGCCTGGGTGTTTTGTGTACAAACGCAAAGCAAAGTTTGTCTCTGGCTCAGTGAAAATATGTTGATAAAATGGGAATTCCAGCTAAAGCACAAAAGAACTTTCCTCTTAACACTGAAAATTCTTTAGAAATGCATATCCTGTGGGAAATACATCTTCTAGCTTATTGTCTTATTAAGTCCAGTATGTGACCAAACTAACAAATAAGGACGTGTAAAGTACACTTTGCAGTTGTAGTGTGTAATCAGCTTATACAGAACCACCATTTACATATCATTCTGTATAATAGGAATGTCAATAGCTGTATCTGTACTCTTCAACAGAACCGGAAGTAAAAGCTGTACCAATATTACAATGGCTGAACTGTTCTTTTTTTCTCAGAGTGCTGGAATCAGTATGGTGTAGTGGTTATAGAATACCAGGCTAGGAATACCATTCATGAAGCTTACTGGGTGATCTTGGGCCAATCACTATTGGGAATGGGTGGATCAGTCTATTTCTGGACCAATGTCCCTTTCACATGTGTTCCATTCCTAAGTCCATCTGGTACCATTTTCATATACATCTGTGTTTCTCTCCCCCCACACACCCCGCCCCCAAAAATATGCATAAAACTTTGCATTAAAATATACATTTAAATACTATTTCTGAACATATTTTCTCACAAAATGTGAATTTCTAAATGTAACTTATCTAAATAAAAATGCATTTGTAAGAATGTTGATTTTCTTTGACCCAATAATATCGCAAAATTTGGAGAAGTGAAAAATAATTATTTTCTGTTCCACATTAGTCCAGTGGGGGTGAATCAGGTCAGTTCATTTCAGAATTTGTAAAGAGCAGTTTCTTCAAGCTTTGTTAGTCACTAACCCTAAGCCTAGCCTGCCCCCATAGGACTGTTTTGAGGATGAAATGAGGGAAGAGCCATATATAGTACTTGAGCTCTTTGCAAGAACCATGGAAAAGACATGTATACATAAATAAACATTCCTTGGTGATCAACTTGATTTGGCAATATTTGAATCGCTTTTCAAAATCATCCAATGATAGTGTGTGTAGTAAATTCTTACTGTACATTAGAACTGGTTTTCCATGTAAGCTTTTCCTGAAGGATTCTGATATCATCACACTAAGTTTCTACTGAAAATTTCACACAAGCTTATTTGACAAAATCTGTCTGGTTATCAAAGCTTGACCCCAGCTCTGTGGCAGAGCTGTCACTTTGTCACACTACATAACATTTCCCTGAATGTCAGTCATATCATTTCAAATCTCATCCCCAGGAGCACCAACTAAGTGTCAGATTCAGACCAAGGAAACGTCATATAAGAATCCACTGCCTTATTTGCCAGAGCTGATTTAAAAAATAAATAAATGAAACGATCAGGCAAAGCAAAGTTTGAATTTCACGAAAGTGCCATATGCAAATTGGACATCCTGCCATATTTGCAAAATGTGCAAATTATTATTATTAGGCATTGATTTAAAAGATGGCTGATTTATGGCTTTAGACTTTGGAAATCATGAGTCAGATTTATATTCAGAACTACAAATGATTTTTCAGTTATACATGGACTTGCTTCAAAGTTGTATAAAGCTTGGTTTCTTGCTTATAACTAAAGAGGATTGGCACTTGAATTAGCTGAAAGCAAACTTCTGAAATTATTCAGACTTAACTGTCAAAGATGAATGTTCAAATATTTACAGGTGTGGAAAAGCTCTATTAACTTTAGCAAATGAGATTATTGTCATTAAGCTTTGGCTGAACAGTTGATGAATATTCTCTGACAAATAATCACCCAAATGTAAGATTTTTAGCTATTCTTTTTTCCATGAGTCAACTTTGGACTTGAGTCCTGCAGACAACTCCATTAGCTGGACGATCTTACTCGTTTAAATAAATCTGGTTTAATGACTGACTACAATCCAGAAATCAGTGCATATTTTGCCTCTGCCTTTAATCGGGTGTGGTTGCACTCCATGGAACTTCAGCTATCAAATCAAGCAAGATAACCTTAGACAAAACATAGATCTCTTGGATCACAGACCTGACAGTCTTGTCTTGCACATAGTTCAGAAGCTGAGCTTTGAAAGTTCATTTCAAAAAGCAACCAGGTCTGATTCAAGTTCAGTATTTCCAAAAAGGAAGTAATTCCAGTTCACATTTATCCCTTTACGAAAACAAACTTGTTTGATTCATGTTCATCCAAACGATCCTCAACCACAACAAAAATCAACATTCAGAATGTTACAAGCTGCTGTACTGATGTATAGAATATACTTAAGAAGACCAAGAAAAGATAAACATGCGCACAGAGTGGAATGGGAACTGTTTGGTTCATTTCCCCAGCAATTATGCTATTTCCGCTTAAAGGCCTAAAGAGACTAAAGAGTAAGAACTTGAGATGAACTAGTCGTTCAGAAATTTACCCCAAAATGAAACGGGCAATTGCCTGGCAATTATGGGAAATACTTTCAAGTTTTGTTCAGATATTTTTGAACTAAGTCAGTGAATTTAACCAAACTAGTTCATGCCAAGCACTGTTCAGAAGTTTGTCCTCATGCGTTAGGAACCTATGAAGACTTGTGCGAGATCAGACCATAGGCCTATCTAATCAAGCATTTGACTTCCTGCAGCCACTAACCAAGTGTCTATGAGACTCTTACAAGCAGGGCATAATAATAATCATAATAAATAATACATTTTATTTTTACCCCGCCCTCCCTGGCCAGAGCCGGGCTCAGGGCAGCTAACACCAATAAAATCACAGTAAAAACATAATAGGGGAACAAGGGGGGGGGCAATTTAAAATACAGGTTAAAATGCAATTTAAAATGCAGCCTCATTTTAAGGTAGCCGATAAATCAAGACCATAAGGGGAGGGGAAACATAAGGGTCAGGCTGAGTCCAAACCAAAGGCCAGGCGGAACAACTCTGTCTTGCAGGCCCTGCGGAAAGATGTCAAGTCCCGCAGGGCCCTAGTCTCTTGTGACAGAGCGTTCCACCAAGTCGGGGCCAGTACTGAAAAGGCCCTGGCCCTAGTTGAGACCAATCTAACCACCTTGCGACCTGGGACCTCCAAAATGTTGTCATTTGTGGACCTTAAGGTCCTCCGCGGGGCATACCAGGAGAGGCGGTCCCATAGGTACGTGGGCCCTAGGCATGAGTTGAACCGCACTCTCTCCACCTGAGACTCTCAGCAATTGCCATCCAGAGGCATGCTGCCTGAACTGTGAAAGTGGAACATAGCCATTGATAGACTATTATTTTTTTAAAAAAAATTGTTACTTGTGTTTATATCCCACCCTTTGAGGAGCTCAAAGGGGTTATCTCCCTTCATCCTCACAACAACCTTGCAAGGCAGGTTAGACTAAGAGATTGTGGCTGGCCCAAGGTCAGCCAGTGAGCTTCATGACTGAGTGTAGATTTGCACCCCGTTTTCCAAGGTCCTAGTCTAGCACTAAAAATGCAATTCTAAGAACGCTTGTTAGGAAATAAATTCTCTGGAGTCTAGCGAGACTTGCTTTTCAGTGCACACGTTTAAGATTCTGCTGAATGCCTTATTTCTAACTCATGGATAACAGGGCTTCATTTTGCATTCGACATTTTGTGTCAAGTAAGAAACTAACATTGCCCTTTTTTTATTCTGTTGTGTTTACCTCCTTCAGATGTTCTTGGAGCTGGTCCAGAAGACAGGAATGAACCGAAGCCAACTGTGAGAAAGGTGGACACCACAACCACAGCTTCTGTAAAATCATCTCCTAAACATAAAGTGGACAGCAATATGGGAAACAGAGCTTCAAGTTCCTTGCTCTTTATTATTACAGCCCTTGCAGTTGTGTGGCACTCTTTGTTGTAGCTGCGTTATGCGGCGGTAACTGGGCAGTTTCTGCTCACTGTCATTTATACCTACAGCCTTATCCAAGTAAAAACCAAGTTTAATGGCTCTCTCAATGGTGCACTCTAGCATTATGTGGTATGTTAGTGTAAGTACTAAACATTAGTCTGGGACTGGTTAACAGCAAGCGTCTCCGTAGCTGTCGGTATCTGGAGATGGCTCTTGATAACATCTCATCTACTCAAGATGTAAAAAAAATAAAAATAAAAGGATGAAGACGGGATACCTGAGTAGATTAAGTTATTGTGGCAGACACAATTAAGAATGTTAAAGTTGTAAATTAATATGTTGGCAACGCCCCCCCCTCCCCATTTTTTTTTACTCATTGAGTAATGGACAGGCTGCCTATTTGTTTGATCTTTTTTGTGAGTTTCACTGCATAATTGGTTTTCAGATATAGGTCAATAACACAGTATATCTTTTGGGATCAGCCACTATATATTATAAGCAAAGTACAGTGCTATCTACCGATTGGATGAAATTCTGAGGCGGTCAGGAAAATCATAGCATGTTCAAATCTCTTATTTTCTTTCGTAATGTTTAGGATGTAGAAAGCAATATAAGAACCATATGCTGTGTTTAATGTATCAGTATAGCTGCCTTAACTGTTAGCAACACGTAGAAACACTTCTCAAGTTATTTTGAAACATATAGAAGTGTTTCACTGCCCATGCACTTCATTACCATATGCTTAAGACTTGACTGTGTTGTGAATATCTGACAAACGTGAAAAGGAGAGGAGCAGCACTCGATTGCTGAGACGTAAACAGTCACTTATTTAAATTCCTCTACAGTTCCTGTATGGTGTAGCCATAGAGATAACAAAAGCCCTAGTCCACAGATCCTCACATGGTGCTACATAGCTATCAGAAGAGAAGTGGGAAACCTGTGGCCCTACAGATGCTATGGCTCTACAGCTCTCATCAGCCCCAACCATCATGGCCGAAGGTCAGGAATGATGGGAGCTGTAGCCCAGCAACATCTAGTGTGTGACAGGTTCCCCTCCCCTTTGTTAGAGGGAGCAGGAAGGGAATCAATCCCTAAATGCCCATCGCAAACAGATGGTCAGCATTGCTAAAGATGGCAGAGCCAACCACTGCCAGTTTTGTTGGTTTGTGCATGAGCTCAGTCCCTCTTCTCTGGGTAACCACATCGTCTTACTCGTATGGGGCATGATCCAGCAGAGTACTGGTGCATGAGTCGCTCTTGCCGAACTGGAGCAAATGTTTCCATCTAGCTACCAAAAGTTATTACCTTTTATCTCAAAAGAGATATTGATGCTCTACAGAGCAATGAAGAACAATGTGTCCCATAGTTTTCCATTTAATTACAATTAATGTTTTATTGTGCTATGATAGAAAATAATAAATATGAAAGAAACATCAACCTAGAATAATAAATACATTATTTTCTGCTTGTTCTCTAATACATGTTTTCTTTTTTCTTTTTGTTATTGTAATGAGGGCTTTTCAGTTACAAAATGAAACTGATGTGTTTGACAGCTTGACAAGATGTTACAATACCACCATTAGATGGGAGAGGGCAAATACATGTATTTTTGACAACTCTTTTTACAGTGCCATTGAAAATCTATACAATACAATCTGAGTCGAATTAACAATTGTAACAGTCATTTTTGCCTCTGATTTATATTTACTAAACAAAGCCAGTCGTTCGCATAACTGAATAGTAGTTTTCATAACACAGAATATTACAATGTACAGTTTTATAAGATATAATGTAAAATATTGCCTTTGATTTGTGTGTGATATATGTGTGTAAAAACATTTACTTCAGCAGTTTGATTTGCTTATGGTCAGTCTAGTGCACCAATTCTTGAAAACATATGTGTTTAGGGTCAAAGGGTAAGACATAGCTAGATAACTGTTCCTTGCAGGCCCTGCAGGCTTGATATCCTCACAGAATTGTTTTCCTTCAGGGGCTTCCCCATTCACTTCAGTGGCACATTCTTTGCACATATTTCTCATGTGCATAACAGTCCATATATGCAGAGGATACAAAGGCCTTTGCATCATGGAATGGTGCTTTTAAATGCATATTGATTCCTTATCTTCATGTAAGGTCATGTCCCAACCAAAGCAAGCACTCTTTGTCCCATTCATGTCAATGGAAGAGTTAAGCATGTACTTAATAAAAAAGTAGTATAATAATGTTATTATTTATATGCCGCCCATCTGACTGGATTGCTTCAGCCACTCCGGGCAACTTAAGTCTCTTTCGTTAATAATATTCAGCACATGGACGGGCTGAGAACGGACTGAGTTGTTGTTATAGTTTCCTAGTTCATACTACGGAATTCTAATCAGTAATTCACACAACAACAAAATATTATATGAGACACACCTGTGCTCGCAATTAAGCTTTTGCATTTAAGTACCACGTGCGAGAAAAGGAACCATGTAAGAGCAAATATCAACACTCTCCTCTATGAGACTTGTATCAGATTTTGGACAGAAACACTTCATTTCCAGACTTTAAAAAGAATAAACTGAATTTGAATTATTTGTTATTGTTATGTCCAAAAGTTTACAGTTGTTTCAAATTCACACAAGAAAACTGGCATTATGCAAGGAATATATTCGCATGTAAACACCATTCTTTGGAGACTGAAACAAGCACAGTAATTTCCCCCAAGATATTAAGATGGTTCATGTGGAAATAGAATTCATACACTGGAGGACTGAAGCAAATATTCTTCTGTAGTTTTAACTGAGCATTGGCCTTCAATGACCACAGCATCAAGCTCTACCACAAACTGATGCTGCCTGTTTTCTTTTACATACAAAACAAAGTTTACTGGGATTTTCCCTGTTCAGGAAAGCAAATGGGGCTCGGCACACATTTTAGAGCTACTGGTTCATGGCTGTGTCCCTTTAATTCAGACATGCACCCTGAGTGAGAGCCAGCTAACTCATACTCAGAGTATATTCACTGAAATCAATGGACTTAAGTAACTTAATGTACTCTGAGTATGCCCAGTATGGGATTTCACCCACTGAATCTAACCAAAATTCACTAGTTATGTCATGAAATACACAAAAATTTCGTTAGTGAATAGCTATCAATCATTTTGTCTCCCGGCAGAATGTATTGAAACAATCAGAGTGATGTAGCTTATATTTTATCATTTCATTTCATCCTCTTTCCTCCCCATTTTTGTGCTGTTAAACAATAATTTGCAATTACACTATTTGCACCTAATATATGCTGCCATGCGAGAAGTCATTTGTTGCATGGTATAAGCAATTAACATTTGTTCACTTCGTCTGTTACAAGAGGATGTGTAATTTGTCCACTGTGCCCTTTTTGTGCACCTAATTAAAGCCATTTTGAAATACTCTCCAGGTAATGAACATTGAATTTGGTAGTGCGAGGGGGAGGAACCGATTTCTAATGTTATGATTTTTTTGCAATTGTACTCTTGTAAAATGTTTTCCAGCTAGAATCCTGTTCCCACTTGGCAGGCTTTTGAAATGGTCTGTGTTGGATATTTCTCGTCAACAATGTCCAGAATACCTCATTTACATTGTAATGTGATGTGCTCCTATCTTTCAAATGTTACTGTATGAAGAACTGAACAATTTCTCTGCTCACTGAGGCAGAAAAGGTGATGGTGTCAAAGCATCGAGGATTTCCTGCTGAGCCTGTGAAAACTAGGCCACACTGTTTTAAAAACCATTTGAATTGAATTTAAAAGTGTGTATATATCTTACATATAAAGATGTTCCTGTGCGCAGCCTTAACTGACGTCAACATCATAATCTCTGCTGATAGATATTAGATCTGAATACAGCTAACAAACAATATCTGTATTGCTTGTGTTCTGAACCTTTCACCCAAAACCCAGTTTCAAGGATTAAGTTCACCAATGTGCTCCACTGCCTTTTGGAAAGAGATACACATATATGGCGTAAGACCAGAAACCTCCAAGGCTAAGAGTGTCTATCTCATACCCTGGAAGTATCCTGGGAAGAAAGGTACATCCCATTTTTTTGCAAGATAACGGCGATCTTTTTGGTTGCCATGATCTTGCAGAACTTTGAGGCGCCGTGCCCAAAAAAGTACTTTTGGGGGTGGGAACTGCAGCCATGATCTCATGATAAAAAACGGGAATTTTGCATCCTGGATTTGGGCTTTAAAGTTCTGGAAGGTATGCCATCTTCTCATCTTGGGGCTTGGGTAACTGCCACTTGTTCGGCTATACTCATTCCTGAGTGCCTCTGTGCTCCAGAGATCCGTGTGTACAGCAGTGGGGCTGCACACACTTTGCTGCATTCAAGATCTCCCCATGGAACAAACCTTGCTAACTGGGAGGAGGGTCGTGTGATGGAATCACAAAACTACACCAAGCGTTCAGGCCTGAATGGAGAGACTAAGGTTTTCTTTCCCAGTGGGTTTTTAAAAATTTATTTGCAAGAATCAAGCTGAAAGGGCGGTTCTTCTACAGAAATCTATATCACTGCACATAAATTGCTCTTGCTGGGTTAATACAGAAACTCCTCATCAACATTTTGACTTGGTTTCTTTTTTTTTATGTAATGCCTGTGACATCTGTGTAGGATTGCAGCATTAAGTATAGCTCTTGCTAATCATTTCTATGCTGGCCTGGCTTAGCATCTTTCCTTTCAGTGTGGATTCCTCTGGATTTAAGTCCATCATACTTACTGTCCTACTTTTACAATTAGGACTATCGCCTTTCCCATATTGCAAGTGTCAAAATTTGCACCTGCATGAAGCCCACACACAGGGCTCTTCCATACCATTCTGTATCATGGTATTTATTTTGGGTGCGTGGTTGTCACACACTAAACGGTGAGTTTCAATGCCTTCTCTAAAGAGCTCTCTCCTTGTCTACTTTGTACCAGTTTGGATTCGGAGTTTGACAACGGTTTAGTACCAGCCACCACCACACCTGCTTTACTAGAGGCAGAGAGTGGCAGACGACTTGTTCAGAACTTAGGCAGAAAGAATGATTAACTAGCAGCATGCAGGGGGCGAGTATAATTCAAGGACATAAAGCAGGAATAGACTGACAATTCTAAGTCTTACTTCGTAAAATCCAGTACATCCACTGATGACAATGAAAAAATGTGTTGAACTGCCACCTGTGAAACTAGTTAATAAAGGCAAACATAACCTCTAAAAAGTGTTGCACACCAATGTTCAAAAAGCAGTTTATGAAGATAAGTGCCCATGATAAGTTCATGTTCATTGGCCTACTGTCAGAAATGTAAATAGCCAGTCATCTTTTATAGCCATGCAGTGCTCTTGAACCCTTCCTATACAGTTCCGTGGAACTAAGAGCCTGTAACTACATGCAGGATTGTAGCCCAGAGGTATAATATTATTCCTGGCTTTTCTGATTTTTGAAACAATGCTTTATAGACGATTTGGCCATTTGAAGATTTTTACATTAATTTAATTGCTGATTATTTTTGCACCAAAAGAGATTTCTTAATCCTGCCCATGTTCAAATATTGTTGTAATAATGAATAAAACTCATCAAAGTTTTCTGGTATGTTTCGCGTGTGGGATCTGAGTTTTCAAAACAGTCAAGAGCTGTTGCCATAGGCAATGTCGAGGGAGGAGACAACAAAAAAATTGCAATAGTGTGATATTTGTAAGTTACACCTATTTCTGTATGATAACAAATAATAAAAAATAATCAGAAAATATATCTATGGCTGGAGGTTTTGTATGTTTATTAAGGAATTTCATATGCATTGTTTCCTGATAAATGTGTACAGGAACGCAACTTGAACTAGTTAATCTTAAAAGTGCCACACAGAACTGTTAACAAGGGCTCCCATAAATTTCCAGACCTAAGGAAAAAGATTACTTCCCTTCCCCATATTACCTACATATATGCCTTCTTTTCAGAATGTGGAATAAGATGGAGGGCTATTGGGTGTACTAGGACTGGAGCATCCCTGTTTCAACACTTTACCCTGTCAGAAAGCCCACAGTATCACCTTGAGTGAGTCACTGTCTCTCAACCTAACCTATCTCACAGGGTTACTGAGAGGATAACATGGGGCAAAGTAACATGAATGTTACTTTGACCTGCTTGGAGGAAAAGCGGGATGGATATAAATTCAATACTGATTAATAAAGAATAATAAAACTCCAGCCTACCTGGTCTTGATTTTGAACTGAGGAAGAGGGAAGGGCCAGACTGGAACCATGAAAAAACCAACCTAAAAATCAAAGAATAAAGTTCTTACCTTGTAGGTCCTTCAGAAACTGATGAAACTTTGATTAAAAAACAGTTGTATTTGGGGGAACAGCTTAACGGTTTTTACCAAAAGATTCTCCCACACTGGATATACTGGATAGATTTTGACCCAAAACTTATGAAAATTTGGATCAACTAGGTGTTCATAAATTAGCATTCTTCTTCTTTGAAAATCTCTCTCTCTCTCTCTCTCTTTGTTATTTTAAATAGTGGTACTAGAATAAACCTCATTACTGAAACATGTATCCAACTGCTAAGGTTTCCCCCCACACACAATGGCTGATCTTTAGTTAAATGTAAAACACTCAGCTCACTGCCTATGCAGAATAGACTCTGTGGACTAGCTGGACCTGAGAGATTATATGACCTAATTCAAAATGTATTGGCATACAGTTTCTCCCCTGCTGAGGGAGGAAGAATGCTTGTTCTACAAACGGCTGTTTCAGAAAGACATTTTTAAACTGAAGGCTCGGCATTTATCCCCTAATTAAATGGCTGTCACAATCATTGGAACCGTTTCTCTCAGAAATTTAGATTCCCTTAGATCTGTTCCCACCTGCTTTGCTATCTGAAGAGTTGTGGTTTATTTATTTATATTCCACATTAGGAACTTGATTTTAATAACTCTGGAGGGGCTTTATCTCCCACTCCTAGTAATGGACAACATGGTGGCAAGATGGAAGGGAGGTTGTTTGCACCACACCAAACTCTCAGTTGACTCCCCTCGCCTTCCTTCTAAGCTGCAGGGACTCAGCTGCTGGGAGGCCAAGTGAGCACTGCCACCCAACCACAGCCCCTGCCACTGCCTGCTCCTGTATTTTCCCCTTTGACTACAGATATTTGTTTCTTTGTAGACACTTAAAAGGATGCAGAAAGGCAGGATGCCATGTTTTCTTTGGATTTCGCTTTCTGGTGACAAAACACTGTGCTCCCTTGTGTACACAGTGATACAGATAGGGATGAATGAATCCGACCAGCTCCATTTTACCCAGTTTTTCAATCTTAAGGCTAATTTGCCACATTTCCACATCAACTTGGATTTTAATTTTATTTTTTAAAAAAAAAAATCTCATGAAAATTGAACAGCCATTTAAAGTGCATATTTCCGAAGAGACACATTTTTTGTATGCATTTCTCTCTACATATACACTTCTTACTCTAATATAATATAAAGAAGGCTGATTGCCAAAGAATTGATGCTTTTGAATTATGGTGCTGGAGGAGACTCTTGAGAGTCCCATGGACTGCAAGAAGATCAAACCTATGCATTCTGAAGGAAATCAGCTCGGAGTGCTCCCTGGAAGGACAGATCCTGAAGCTGAGGCTCCAATACTTTGGCCACCTCATGAGAAGAGAAGACTCTCTGGAAAAGACCCTGATGTTGAGAAAGATTGAGGGCACAAGAAGAAGGGGACGACAGAGGACGAGATGGTTGGACAGTACTATAGAAGTGACCAACATGAGTTTGACCAAACTGTGGGAGGCAGTGGAAGACAGGAGTGCCTGGCATGCTCTGGTCCATGGGGTCACAAAGAGTCGGACACGACTAAACAACAAAATATAAATTATGCAGGCAAGTTCCCCTAACAATAACATAACATTATGGGTCCATAACATATGCTATTTTCACAGGTAGACACATTTTCATACACACTTTCCCCTCATCTATACATTTTTGTACACATTATTTTGGTTGGAGAACAGCAACACTAAACTTGGGGAAGTGCAAATGTCAAGCAAACAGCTGCTTTTCGGTTCACATGGCTGGGAGTGTGGATTGGGGATTATTCACTCTTACAGTCCACAATTTAAAGCTTCGTGTCTGAGTCCTAATTTTTTTCCCTTTGCTCTGGAGCTTTCCTTGCAAAACCCCACTCTTTAAAGCTCAGTTGGAGCAAATGTCAATCTGCGGAAAATCCAAATTGACATTTGCTCTGATTCAGTTTTAGGCAGTGGGGTTTCGCAGGGAAAACTCAGGGCAAAAAAATTAAAAAATGCTCTAATATAGAGCATTGCAGTGCAGACCTCTGCCTGGAAAGAGCAGAGCAAAGGCCAAGATTGGATATAAGCCCTTAGGTGATTTCACATTGAAATGTGCTCCATATTTCTTCCTGATCCCAATTCCTGGGGTGGAGTCAAGAGCTTAGATACCTCACCTTCCTGAGGTTGGAAACCTGTGACTGCAAAACACATGTTCGATTGTGATTCAGCAGCTACCAAGTGAACAGGACCCTGAGACATAATGGCATTCCAAGTGATGCTAATGCACAGACACAGAAAAGGTTGTGACTGGCTTCCGATGTTACAAGTGAGTCATGTCTACTGGTAGATGCACGTGGTCAACCACACACTTTGTAACTGGAATGTAGATGGACCCATTTGGTCTCATCCAGCAGAGCTTTTCTTATACTCCATCCCTACACACAGTTTTCGCTCATGGTTGAAGCATATATTTGCACACAAAGTTTGCTTCTTTAAAAGTATATTCACAAATATGTAGCTGAAACTTTTTTATGTATTTCTTTCCAGAATTTATATGTCACCTAACACTGCAGTTTCTAAGTGATGCTTTTTATTGAGTTAATACCGTGTGTGTTTGTGTGTGTGTTATTTAGAAAACTCAATAAAATTGTAAATTTATTTTTTTTAAAAGAACAGCTGCATTAGAAAATGCACTGCTCACATGCTTACTGACCTGGAGAGCAAAAATTATCCATTATCCTATCAAAGGATCAAAAGAAACAGGGGTGCTGCTTTCCTGAGAGGAAAAACTACGGCTGCTGTATTTGCATTTATTGGCTCTCAAGAGTTTTCAAGTTAACTTTAGAAACGAAACCATCCAAACAATCGACATTCAAAATCACAACATGTCAGCTTTCCTCTTGTGCCTTTATTTTTATAGAGACAGCAGCTAGGTGGCAGGTTTCATTTTTCCAATACCCAGAGAAGGGCACACTGCCCTTTGCCAACTGCCGGGCATATTCCCTACCAATTCTTCTGCGGCCTTCTCTTTCTGTCATAGGAATTGTGTCCACTACATCAGCAAGAGATCTCCAATCGCTCTTTAAAAAAATCAGAAACTGATGTAGAAATGTGGTGAAATAAATATAACATGGGGGAAATGAGAAACTAGGTAAAACCAAACATGATAGATTCATCCATCCCTAGCTGCCATAAAGGACATATGTGTTTGTGTGGATTTAAAACAGAAATTCCCACAATTTTACAAAAAGTCTAATAACATTGTGAGTTTTTAAATAGAAAAGGCAGGGTATTAGGGTTTTTTTACGAGTAAGTACGTGAGTGAGTGAGTGAGTGAGTGAATGAGTAAGTAAGTTGTTGTTGTTTAGTCGTGTCCGACTCTTCGTGACCCCATGGACCAGAGCACGCCAGGCACTCCTGTCTTCCACTGCCTCCCGCAGCTTGGTCAAACTCATGTTCATAGCTTCAAGAACACTGTCCAACAATCTTGTCCTCTGTCGTCCCCTTCTCCTTGTGCCCTCAATCTTTCCCAACATCAGGGTCTTTTCCAGGGAGTTTTCTTTTCTCATGCGGTGGCCAAAGTATTGGAGCCTCAACTTCAGGATCTGTCCTTCCAGTGAGCACTCAGGGCTGATTTCCTTCAGAATGCATAGGTTTGATCTTCTTGCAGTCCATGGGACTCTCAAGAGTCTCCTCCAGCACCATAATTCAAAAGCATCAATTCTTCGGTGATCAGCCTTCTTTATGGTCCAGCTCTCACTTCCATGCATCACTACGTAAGTAAGTAAGTAAGTAAAATATGATTGTTATTTGCGTATTGCAATCTCTGACCTACCCAGTCAGGAATAAACTTCTTAACCAGTGATGAGGAGGATAACCCGGTCTATTGGTTTCCTAACGTGGCAGTCTTGTACTCAAACTGGGAGTAAGTCTCAGTAAGCTTTGGGTCATGGGTTCAAGCCCCATGTTGTGCAAAAGATTCCTGCCTGCATTGGAGGGAGTTGGACTAGGTGACCCTCATGTTTCCTTCTAACTCTACAATTCTACGATCTCTGTGAGTCTATATTCTTCTTTCTTAGCTGGATTTCTACAGAATGGCCAAAGGTTATTCAAAACCCGTTAGAAAAAATGATGAGAGCCTCATGAGATAGATCTGTGTGCGTGTATTCAGTGGTTTTATTGTAGGGAAAACAAACGTATAATAGAGGGGAGATATTGTCAATGATAGCTGTTGATTAGTGTTTCAATTCATATCTAAGCTGTCCGCCTCTCCCCTTCTTCTGTAAATCAAGCATAAACTGTGGCTAGGAGCAACAACAAAAGGATCATGCCACACGCTGGTAAAAAGAAATAAATTCAATTGCCTCAGCAATCAGGTGGAGATTTGAGCCTTATGAAGCTATTGACAAACAATCTGTGTTTTTTCTGTACAGTTTAAAAAAAGAAAGCTCTGACCTACTCGAAAGTGAGCATTATCTTTCTGAATGGAGGGTATTCGTGGCAAATGGGAAGGCTGTGGTTCCTGGAACAAGCAGCTATTATGAATGATGATTCATTGATCAATGAAAGAATAGGAAGCACAGCTCTCCAGTTAACAAATGGGTGGTTTCTTGCTGCCTAAAATGTAATAGGAAGGGATATCCCTTTTGTAGCTACTGCAAATGAGCCACGAAGTACACACACGACTCTAGCAAGAGGGAACCCCCTTAGCTATGGCGTCTATTAGGAAAAGAGATCACACAGAGAGATATTT